TTTATTCAACAGCTTTTGAGATATTTGTTTTGAGCATATAGAATTCTAAGAAAAGCTGATGTGAGTATATTTGAAATAAATCATCAAATGTTTACTTGGTGATTTATCAAACACTTTAATCATTCATATTGCATTCATATGCACGTCGGTGACTCATACGGTTGAGGGCACCAAGACCGTGGTGGCGGTTTTCCTCCGGTGAGCTTGAAGCAATCGTGGCCAGTATTGCGTTCAACATAAGGAGTGTCGAAGATCATCCCGTGACAGAAGTTGAGTTACGAAGAAGTCGGTAAACATTATCTAGAATGTGTCTAGGATAAGTGTGTGAGTACTTCTTGTAATCATCGTTCTATAGTAAATTTGTGTTGGACTAAGGAGTCCCGTGGATTTTCCCTAGAGATTGGGTTTTACCACGTAAAATAATTCTCTGGGTGTTCTTTTATTTTATGCCCAGCACGTTACAGGATTGATAAGCCATATCAATCCTGCTACTGAAGTTTATTTTTATTTATTTGATTAGAATCTTAAATTGGCCTATTCACCCTCCTCTAGGCATTTTGAGTCATCCTGCAGGTATTTTCAAAATCTTTATTAGTAAAGATTCTTATGATTAATACCTAATTTTTCTTTGATAATTTGTGGTGGTTAAGAAAGCAATAGAGTGAGGACAATGGCTTTGATCGTATATCAATCAAAAATGAATATTTTCCAAATTATCCTTCTTGGCCTGGGTTTGATTTCACTTTCAGATTAGGCCCTTATATTTTATATTGGTCTTCTTGTTTGATGGGATGTTGTGAGAAGTAGAACTATTTCCAACTAATTATAACCATCTCCATTAGAATGTTTATTTTGCTTTAATATTTCACTGAAATCAACCCGGATTTGCTAAAACAAAAAACAATGGTGTGTATATGCCTAAAGATTTGGGCTGCCTTGCTAGGAAGCCAGAAATTTTTAGGCATATATGCACACCATTGTTTTCCTAGCAAGGCAGCCAACGTTGACTCTTCGATATGCACACCATTTTTATCGAAGAACAAGAGAAAGAAAACAAAAATGGTGCATTGGGCACTGTTGACAAAAAGTTTTGAGAAGAATCAATCTTTTCTCCAAAAGAGAAGCTGAAAAAAACAAACCAACAAGATGAAAAGAAAAAAAAAAAACATCTCTTGGTTGCTTGTTGAACTGAAGCACGCCAACCAGTCAAAAAGATAAACAACTTTTTCACTTTAAACAAACAAAAGCAGAGTGAAAACAAAAATTAAACACAGAGATCTACACAAAATACTGGTGATCCAAAGCAAAAACAGAGTATATACCCTCAAATAAACTCAAACCCAACATTCAGAAGGCATTGATCTATGTGATCTGATATATGAACCCAACAAAAAAAAAACAACAAAGACCATATAGTCTAAAGAAACAAGTTAACCCAACAAGAAGAACACGGACACAAGGGAAAATAAAAATGGGGAGAGAAAAGGAGGTACCTAGACAAAGAAGGAAGCCTTACCTTCGGAGAAAAGAGTTCACAACTATAGCTAAACCACAGTAGTCTTCTTCACAAATAATGTCAGAAAATAGAGAGCAAATAAAGTCACCCTAAAGAGCACTACATTGAAAGACTTAACTAAAGAATTTCTAAATTCTAGGAAACGTTTTGATTCATTAAATGGAAATAGTAATACTAATATCAATGATGGGAACAAAGAATGATAAACAAATTATACAAGAACATGGAATCTAGTGGGCTTTATAATTTAATCTAAATGTGGGATGATCTAATTAAACCTCTATTTTTTGGGTGGATGGATGAGCTAAATTTGTGTTGTGAAATTTTAGCACAAATGTTACACTTTGGCTCCTTTCCTTGCATGGGATGGAGGGAGTCAAAACTTAAACATGGCATTCTTCTTGTCTAGTTCTGAGAAAAATTGTAGGGAGTGTCTGGGCGAAGGCGCTTGCAACAAAAGATAATTAACTTAGAAACCAAAAGGCCAACAAATATTTGCAGTCAAAATAAAAACATAAAGTGCATATGTGAATGTTTTTTTGACAATATCTAAGAGAGAAACCAATGAATACCAGATTATACTCAAAAGCCTCTAAATTTTTTATTGACTTCTAGTGTAACTAATCCCACCAAATGCTTAAAGGCTATGGACACCCTAGGGCTTTGATTACGCCTAGCAATCCAATTTTCAAACAAATTGCTATATCATAGAAAGGTGAGAAAAACAACTTTCTAGTGCACGACATGACAGCATTCCCTTGGAAATAAATAAAAAGAATTTATTCGAGGGGAAATGAGAGATATTTTGTTCCACCACAGAGAATTATTTGATTTTAGCATTTAAAAGAATCAGTGGAGATAAGTATGAACATTAAAAAAAAAAACTTATAATAATTAGTTTGAATGCAAACGTATCTAACACGGACCGTGGCCACTCCTACTCGTGTGATTATAAGATAAATTTGTAGCGCTTAGATGAATCCTAGCAGGTAAAGGCAAATTTTAATAGATGAGATTGATTAAGAGGATACATAAGGAGACCAAGATTGATTGAAAAAAAGTAATTTATACTGTATAAGTAACGCTTTTCACATGAAATGTTAAGCAACTGTAAAATAGAACTATAGGAGGAGAAAGCTTTGGGGTGATCGGGAAGACTTTACAAGTGAACATTTACCACTCCAGTAGTACTCAGGTCTTGTCTCCTAATCTAAAGGATTAGTGGGGATAAGACATATCTCTTAAGTTAGGTGATATTTCACATTAAATCTAGTAATTTCCAATGTAACCTAGTCTAGTCCTGCACACATGGCCTAGCCTACACATTTTTTCAATCAACTTCTGAACCCAAAAGATCTCAAGAAGATGGCCTAAGACCTTGCCTTTCCGCCTTTGTATCAGGTAATTTCTTACTATTTTGTACTCTTGATTTTCAGGCAAAAC